TTTTTTTTGAACCAACACAAAGGCAGCTTCGAACTGACTCAATTCTCTATCCAGCACCTTCCCGTTCTTGTTTTCAATCCTAGCAAGGAATTCGAAGAAAAAGATACCGCAATCTCGTCCATATACTATGACAACACCGATACTTGGGAATTATATCAGGGCCGTCTCAAGAAGACAGAAGGAGCCGAGGCGATTCGTTTACGTTGGTATGGAGGCATGGAGAGCGATCAGATTTTCGTCGAACGGAAGACACATCGCGAAGACTGGACCGGCGAGAAGTCAGTCAAGGCGCGTTTCGCGCTCAAAGAGAAGCATGTTAACGCTTTCCTCGACGGTCGTATGACCGTGGACGCCGTCTTTGACAAGATGCGCAAGGAAGGAAAGAAGAGCGAACAGGAAATTGCCGACCTGGAGCAACTGGCTCGAGAGATCCAGTATCGCGTCATTACAAGAAGGCTGGTACCAGTTACCCGGTCCTTCTACCATCGAACGGCTTTCCAGCTTCCTGGTGATGCTCGTGTTCGTATCTCGCTCGATACCGAGTTGACCATGGACCGGGAAGACAACATTGGGCGTCGACGTTCAGGAAACAACTGGCGTCGCATGGACATTGGGGTCGACTATCCATTCAAGCAGCTCCCTCCTGAGGACGTTGAACGGTTCCCTTATGCCGTGTTGGAAGTAAAACTTCAAACCCAAGCCGGACAGGAGCCCCCGCAATGGATCAAGGACCTGACTGCCAGTCATCTGGTTGAAGCTGTTCCTAAATACAGTAAATTCATCCATGGGACGGCCACCCTGTTCCCTGACCACATCAACCTTCTGCCATTTTGGATGCCACAGATGGACGTCGATATTCGGAAACCCGCAACACGCCGCTTTGGTATCCAGCGGCCATTAGCAAGCACATCAATGTCTGGCAACGACGAAACCCAAGAGGATGACGAGTCGGACGATGACTCGGGCGAAGCACAGGAGAACGACAGGCGCAGACTGGAAGATCGACCCAATGGGGATGCTGGACTTGGGTTATTCGCTGACACCGATGGAAATGCGCTTGACATCGAGGAACGTGTCGCTACACAACCGCTACCCGGTGATGAGGACTATCCCTTGTACGACTCGGATGACGATTTTATGGACTCAGACGAGCTGGAAGAAGCTAGAAGGGTTGGAGGAAGATATTATTACCAGAAGCTGCTCCAGTACTATGGCGAGCGGGCTGGAAACGCAGTGGTTAACGGTCTCAAGGCCATCATTCCGCGGCCGTCGCCAACAAATATGCCCCCCCCTGAGCAGCGTGGAATCATGGTTCTTGGGGAGCAACGGACTTTCAAGAGATTCGAGGCGCCTAAGGGTAAACGTAAGTGACACATTGACTTCCTTGATTTTTGCTTTCCCTTAACAATATTTAGGTATTCATGTGCCTGTCCGTGTCGAACCCAAGGTCTACTTTGCTGCAGAGCGGACATTCCTGTCATGGCTTGAATTCTCAATCATCCTGGGCACCATTTCGGCAGCCCTGCTCAACTTTGGCGAGGACTACATCACCCTGAGCTCTTCCTGGGCATTCACCATCCTAGCAGCATCGGCCCTCTTGTACAGTCTCGTGTTATATATATGGCGGGTGGACAAAATCCGCAAGCGCCGCGACGTCAAACGTGTATACTATGAAAAGTGGGGCCCTACTATTCTGGGCGTTGGTCTTGTATTGGCGGTCCTGACGAACTTTGCATTGCGTGTTCGACAGGGTGGATTCATGGCGCCGGACCATGGTCTTGGAAAAGGGGGATATGGTCGGGTAGGAGACGAGTTATGATTCGTCTTTTGACCAAGTATAGAATTTTCTTCAGCAATATAACCATGTTCTCAACATTGCGGGGATACTGGTACCTTATTCCTTAGGAATCACACAAGAGCTGAGACCTGATAACTATGGCTACCTGAACAGCTGCCGATCACCCAGCGACTTCTTCAGCTCCATGCACAATCTTTCCCATCTCGGGTTACAACTTTCCATGTGATACTCCACAGTTACCAATAGCAATTGGCGATGCAGCGCATAGACATCTATTGTTCAGCTGAACAGATTTATTGCATGCCAAATTGTATTCGGTGAAATTTGAAAATTCCATGGCCAACCTATATAAATTCATCACTATTCCTGGAATATGCATAGTAAACCATATGAGTGCATTTGGTTTAAAGGGAATTCTAACAATGTCTTTGTGGAGTGAAACAGCAACTGTTAAGCATTACACTTATCATGCAAGCACCTACACCTATTGTTGAAGTTGAATGTACTCGTACTTATACAGAACAGGATGCCGTACATCGATTAAACACCACCCAGACAGGCTTCGATGCCCGGAAAAAGCATAATCTTCGCCGTCAGTTAATGGGTAATGCCGATGTACCACAAATGAGGAAGTGGTTATCCCGTATCGGGTACACGGCATGTTTTCCCTTCCCAGCAAACAAAGCATACCAAATCCCTAACCATGATATACCTTCAGCCCACCGACCTCAACCGCCTCAACGTCGTCCACGTTGCCGGAACAAAAGGCAAAGGATCAACCTGCGCATTCGTAAACTCGATCCTCAACCGCTACCGCGCATACATCGGCGCACCACGCAAAATCGGCCTCTACACCTCCCCGCATCTCATAACCGTGCGCGAAAGAATCCAGATAAACTCACAGCCTATATCCGAGGAACTATTCACGAAATACTTCTTCGAAGTATGGAATGCGCTCGAGGAATCCGCGGTGCGGGACGGGTTTGACCCGTCGATTTTGAAGCCAACGTACTTCCGGTTCCTGACCTTGTTATCTCTCCACGTGTTTATGAGGGAGGGCGTTGATGTCGCCGTTTATGAAGTCGGTGTTGGCGGCGAGAATGACTCGACGAATGTTTTTGAGAAGCCTGTTGTGTCTGGTATCACGTCGTTGGGGATTGATCATGTAGGTGTGCTGGGTCATACGATTGACAGTATCGCGTGGCATAAGAGCGGGATATTCAAGGAGGGGTGTCCAGCTTTCACTGTCGAGCAGGAGTCTGAGGCTATGGAGGTTCTTGAACAGAGGGGTGTTGAGAGGTGTATCAAGGGACTTAACAGGGTTGGGGTGTGTCCTGCGCTACTACAACAGAATGTGAATATCCGGCCCGCGGAGGACTTCCAAAGGAAGAATGCGTCTTTGGCTATTGCGCTCGCACATACTGTCCTGGGGAAATTGGGCATTGAAACTAATCCCAACCAGCAGAGCCTCCCGGCAGAGTTCATCCAAGGTCTAGAAAGCGTGGTCTGGAGAGGTAGATGTGAGGCATTAAGAAGCGGACAGCAACACTGGCATCTGGACGGCGCACACACAGAAGCAAGTCTGGAAGTAGCGTCGTTGTGGTTTGGAAAGGTATCACAGGAACAACACAGAGATATGCCTCGTGTGCTGGTTTTCAATCAACAATCGAAGAGAAGGGAGGCGGCCTTGCTGCTTAAAACTATCCACCAGACATTATCCGACCATTTCAATGTGTCTTTTCAGTACGCGCTGTTCTGCACGAACATGACGTATAAAGACGCTTCATATAGTCCCGGTACGTTGTCCCTACCGGTCGAATATAATATAGCAGCAAAGGTTAAACTAACAAATAACAGACCTCGTCGACAAAAGGACAAATCCAGACACCATTCAAAACCTCAGCCTGCAAACAGAATTAGCGAATGTCTGGAAGGATCTAAACCCGGAAACTGAAGTTGTGACGCTGTTGTCTATCGAGGAGGCCATCGACTATATTAAGAATATCAATGGCGGTGTTGGAGAGAGTCAGGTTTTGGTCACTGGGAGTCTTCATCTTGTCGGTGGTGCTATGGCGATTTTGGATGGAGGGAGACAATTTGAATGAGGGGTGAATAGGAGTCATCAGTATGTACTACTAGCAAGAATAGAAGTTCTTTTCTATACACATACACATGCCAGGAGTCCAACTAGTATTATCCAACATCAATCCATCTTATACCATGAACATTCCGTGGAAAAGAAAAAAAAAAAAAAACATGATGCCCTGGGTAGTCCCTCGACCCTTAAGAACACGATATTGAGCCCCACAAAAATGGCACTGGAGCGGCTACAGTAAAGGGCGGACAAAACTGGGGAGAGTCCATTGAGACCAGGTTTTGGGACAGAGCAAGAGGCGTCGAGGAAAGCTATTGATGGTGCCAGTGAAAGATAGAAACCGGTAGACTTGGATATAGGGCAATATAAGAATGGTGATTAGCTCAGGTATGGTGGTAGATGAAATACGGCGATGCACAGCGGCTAAGACCCTACCCTTTTTACAAAGCCTTAAAATATGCAAAATACTGGAATGGTTTTGAATAATAATATTACAGGGCCCTTGGTGTGCGCGAAGGCCATCCTACTAGGACTATTGAACAAGCTTCAAACAAAATGGGAAGTCATTCATCAAACAGCACCATTTGTGTCCATAGCCCTAGCCTCCCAACGGCCATAGTAAGTCTTGAGCAGCTCTGGCATAGGTTTGATATCCAGAATGTCCGGAGAGTCCGCCAACGCTCGGCGAAGGTTTGTTGTTTCATACACGGCCATTCCACTGCTGTCACCCCACCAGATCTCGTTCTCCGCTAGTCGTTCTTTGAGTAGAGGGGTCGCTGTTTTCATGCTGTGTTTCCCTTGTGCCGCGAACATCTGCAGCCATTCGGTTACAGAGACACATCGCAGTGGAGTCGAACCGTGATCGCTCAGTATTTTAAATGTATCCATCCAGGTAATGGCTTGGTCTTGATTAGGTTGGACGACATTGAAGGCATGGCCTTGGTTCTGCGAGGATTGCGAGATGCGCAAGATAGCTGCACATACATAGTCAACTGGGACAAAGTGGTTAAGCTGATCAGGTGGAGCTGGGTAGGCCCCGAGTCGGATGCAGTTGTACATGAGTCGATTGAACAAGTCTTCGGGCTTGTCAACCCCTGTGCCGCTGTGGCCCATTACGACTCCCGGGCGATAGATGGTTATGGGAATTTTGTTGGCAATGGCATTCCAAGCAATGTTTTCCGCAGCAAGCTTGCTTCTTGTATATCCAACATGCTGCTCAAAGTACTTGGGATCCAGCATGGCCCTCTCATTCTCAGGGATAGTCGTGCCAGTGAGATGAGCCGAGGCACCGCATGCCCCGATACTGGAGAAGTAATTCAAGGGCTTAAGGCGCCCAGTGTTGACAAACTCTAGCATGTTGAGGAGACCAACAATGTTGGCATCACGATGAGCAGAGTAAGGGAGGGTGTAGTTGACGTAGGCTCCAAGGTGAAAGACAACACTAGATGACCGTGCGTGATGATCGAATTCCTCCTTTGACATTCCCAAATTTGGGTGGGCAATATTGCCAGGGACCACAGTGATTTTGTCCAGAACTTCAAGGGGCAGGCCATATCGGGTGAACGTCTTCTCAATCCGTAGTCTTCCCGACAGAGGATCCGTTGTTCGAATCAAGCACGCAACGCTCTTAACTTGTGGAAGAGCGAGAAGCTCCAAGAGGAAAAAGGCTCCCACAAATCCTGTCGCACCTGTGAGGAAGACTCTTCCTTCAGATTCGGAGCACCAGTCAGGGACGGTTCCAGGAAGAGCTCGCAAGTCGCTGCCCAGCTTCATGTCCTCCAGACAAACCGTAATTTCATCCAGTTCAGCTGGCAAAGAAGCGCTTATTCTGCTGGGAATTTCCCCTTCATTAGAGTGCTTCTTGCGCAACATCTTCACGGCTGTGTCGGCCAGCCCTCCAACGGTACTCGCATTCGAGATCTCGACCAGGGAGATGTCGATACCCGCATTACGGCGAAACCAACTGCGGATTTCTATGCTCATTAACGAGTCAATTGTAATATTGGAGAGTTCTTCTTTGCTCAAATCTTCCGCATAGGCAAGATGAGCAGCGACAACTTTACCTAGCTCGATGGTAATCTTGTCATGGGTTGACTGCTCATCCAGCAACTTGGGATTTTTCTGAATCTCATCAAGGAGAGACTGTAGTTCGTGAGATTGAGAAGATTTTGCCGCTTCGTTCGTTACTGAAGTATTTTTCCAACGACTCAATCGACCTTCATGCAGCCACTGTATCTCTTTAACATTGCCCATGGTGCCGAGACCCACGACTAGTTGTGATGAAGGGTGAGGAGATTGAGCAAAGACCGAAATTTCCAATGCTTGCAGCAGTTCCTTTTCTTCGATAATCTGTATGTCCATAGTGTTGACGATATTCAATGTTTGTGGGCTTTGTTCAGCTGCATAACCGATATCTGCCATGAAACCGAGATCAATCACACTCGCTGGGAGCCCTTGAGAGTGACGATACTGGACAAATGAATCCAGGAAGGTGTTGGCTGCCGCATAGTTGGCCTGGCTAGCAAATCCCATGATACCAGTGACAGAGCTGAAAAGTACAAAGAAGTCAAGTGGTGCGCTTTGAAGCTCGAAGTGGAGGTTCCATGTCCCTTGAACTTTCGGTGTTAAGGCAGCCACCCAGTCCTCATAGGTCATTTTGGATAGAATTTGATCCTGCATAGTAAAAGAGATTAGTGTTAGATGAAAGGGAAGGGCATAGAGCAGAGTGACCAACCTTGAGCACCATAGACATTTGCAGTACGCCTGCGATGGGGCGCTTGGCTGCCGAAAGAGCCCGCTGGACATCTTCAATATTTGAGACGTCGCCTGCGATCACCGTCACGCTCACCATACTGTGGCTTTTTAGGTCATCAATAAAAGCTTGAGCTTCAGGCGACTTGCCGCCTGACCGAGAGAGGAAGATCAAATTGCGGGCACCCTTTTCCACCATCCAGGTGCTAACGGCTCGACCAAGTCCTCCAAGTCCGCCAACCAGAAGATACGAGGCGTCCTGTCTGAAGAGCGGGGTGGTTTCATGTATCTTGGTCATTGGCAGAGTATTAGGATCCTCCGGCATTCGAACAACGATCTTGCCTATGTGTTGGCCTGTTTGCATGTGGCGGAAAGCCTTAACAACATCCAGGGCGTCAAAAACAACAACAGGTCTGATGGGTGTCAACTTTCCTTGCTGGAAGTATCCTGTAAACTGTTCAACCAAGCCTCCCAGCGCTTCCCGATCTTCGCGCCCTATAACTGAAAGATCCACGCCGATGAAAGAACGGTTGCCCAGAAATTTATCCATATCAAGTTTGCCGTGACCCATAAAGTCTCGCTTCCCGATCTCGATCATCTTACCGAATTTTGCAACACATTTCCAGGAGGCATGAAGCAATTCACCTGAAAGAGAGTTCAACACCAAATCAACACCTCGTCCATTGGTTTTCTTCAGCACGCCTTGCAAGAATGATGTGCTTCTGGAATCGAATATGTGATCCGCTGGGATTCCCACAGTATCAGTAAGATAGCTAACCTTCTCACTAGTCCCAACCGTGGTGTATATTTCTGCTCCTATCATCCTGCAAACTTGGATTGCGGCCAGTCCCACACCTCCACACGCAGAATGAATTAGTACAGACTGGTCCTTACGTAGGTTTCCCATAGTGATAAGACAATATATCGCTGTCGCGTAAACGCATGATATTGCGGCAGCATCTTCAAGCGACATTTGCTCGGGGACGGGCTGGCAAGAAACAGCCGGGACGACTTTTTTGGTACCCAAGAGTCCTGGATAGATAATGACAACTTTGTCACCGACCCTTATATGCTCGACAGATGATCCTACTCGGCGCACAATTCCACTACCTTCGAAGCCTAATTCGGACGTATCTCCTAAAAATCCCATTGCAATCATCATGTCCTATCGAATTTAGCAAGTGGCCAGCGTTAGGCATGTAAAAGAGACGAGTCTTACCCTAAAGTTCAGACCAACATATTTTATGTCCAGCTCAACTTCATCTTCTTTCAACTCAGACGGGGAAGGTGCAGACATGGCCCACCGCAACGAATCCAGAATTCCGTTGAACCCTATATCCAATGACCGTGGTGTCGGCGAGTGTGGCATAACAGCCAGCTGATGTTCCAGAGAGGACCATTGTAGTCGTGGCAGAAGGACATTTCCATCCTTGTGAGCATATTCGTAGTCCGAATCCAGCCACGGTAGATTAGACTGAGCCTTCAATTTCTCAAATACTTTAATAGCAGAATCCACGGCAGTTGCGTCGAACTGATCAATTTCCAAAGTCGCGAATTTGTGACCCAGCTCATTTCGAATCGTTCGAGCCATTCCCAAGACCAATGAGAAACGAGGATCTTCACAATCAGTTTGGAGGGTTCTTGTAATCCAAAGGAGATGAACGCCAGCTAATTTAGACAAGTAGCTTTGGAACAGCCTGAATTCCTCGGCTAACAAATTGTCAAAGAAGGGGCCTTCGAGGTCTATGAGAGAAATGATATCAGATCCAGGAGGGGGTGTATCGTGCAGTGTGTACCATTTCACGGTATGGCCCGAAAGCAAAAGCGCTGACTCTAGTTCACGGCCCCATTCCGAAATTTCTGATAAATGGAGCAATCCAATTTGCCTCTCTTTTGCATTGATACCGGAGGCCTTGGCTGTCGAGAGAATTGTAGCTGTTATGCTATAGGGCTCATCATTGTCATATTGCAGGGCATCCACACCAGTGAAATTGGCGTTGACCAACTCCTCGTGCCACCCCTCAGCAGACAATGCCGGGCTGTCACGACGACCATCGTCCTCTCCAAGCCACCAGCCCGGCAAAACGCCCATCACAAAGCCGCTTATAGGAATACGACCACTCAAATCCTGCATGAGTAAACGACCCCCAGGGGCCAAAAGCTTGCGGATATTTTGTAATGTGTCAGAAATTGCAGGTGTGGCATGAATGACATTGCCAGCTATGATCAAATCATAACTTTCTGGTGCATATCCTTGCCCTTCTGGATCACGAGTGATGTCAAGTGTAGCGTATTCAATGGCATCATACTCGCGGAATTTGTCTTGAGCATCTCCTAAAAAGCCCCCCGATATATCTGTGAATGTGTACTTCGAGTAAAGTCGGCCATTGTTGGATAATGTCAGAGAATTTAGTGCAACTGATGTCAAGCCGCCCGTTCCAGCACCAATCTCCAGAACGCGAAGGACTGGATTAGACTGGCCAAGTAATTGGAGAAAGGTATCGCATGGGGAAAGAGAAGCCAAATTGTTGAGGAAATACTTCAACATACCATCCTGCACAAGGGTCTCAAGAGGGCTTATTCGACCCTCCAAGATATCGTGCATTGTAAAGCAAAGCCTCTCGGCGAGTTGGTGAGTATGCTTGACCAGAGGATGCATATTGCATATTTCCCTACGCAATGCATCTGCGTAAGGGCTGCAAAGGCCAAGACTTGAGACATCCATTTCCTTCATTTCAGGGACCAAGTCGGCCGACTTTTCTTTGATCATACGGTACTGATCCCTTATCCAGGCGTGGTATTTCTTGAGATGGTCAGATGTGGGAGTCGAGTACATCGTGCGGCGATATGCTTCAACCACATATAAACTCGTTATCCTTGCTACAGTCTGCGCTTGGAAAAGCGGTTCAGGAAGACGCGGGAGCTGTTCTTCAAGAGGAACAAAGTCGATATGTCGCGTCCAGTAAATATTTGACGCTAGCAGCGCATTCGGATTATCTGACTCAGGATCCTGGACATTGAAGAAGACACCCCTTTCCATGGAGAGGACAACCTGATCGCTCGAGAGTAGTGTCGAATTTCCACACATGGTGCCACTGGTTGCCTCGCAGGAAACATTCAAGTTCATTTCCCCACGACCTTCACTGATATATAGGGACTCAATGGCAGTCGGTATACACATTCTTGTCATTCGACGCGAGATGCCCTGTGTCGCTGCTACACTGAGCAGTTGCAATGATTGGTCAATCAAGGTTGGATGAAGAGCATAGTAACTGATACGTGATGGTTCATCACCGTGCAAAACCGCAGAAGCCTGGAAACTCGATGGACTCGCTGTAATCTGATTAAGCCCTCTGAAATGGGATCCGTAGTTCAGCCCGCGCTTTTTGAGTGCACGATACCATTTATCGGATTCAATCTGTCGAGAATAGGTCTTGCTCAAGGGAACATCATGTCCTTGATCAGCGCCTGGCCGAACCTGACCCACGCAATGCTTCTTCCACTTCCCATTTTGATAGGATGTAATAGTAAAGTCAAACCACGGAGAGTCGACATTGTCTGCAAGCTTGACTGGTCGCAGACTGGTGACCATCTCGACAGGCCCTGAGCCCCCTAGAATCAGTGCGTTTCGGATAAACATATTACTCAGAGAGTAGTCCGTGGATTCAGTTACTTGACGCAGAGCTTCACCTGCCATGGCAACATAACCAGCGGCGGGAAAGACAATATCATTGCCAATTTTGTGGTCCATCACCCATAGAGCATCTTCTATATTGAAAATGTTCCGCCAAGCCGGTTCCAAATCACTTGACTCCAGAGTCCGAGAGCCTAGGAGTTCATGTTGAGGATATCGACGAAGTCTCCAGTCACGAACAAGACGGGTCTCGTCCCAGAGTCTCTCGTCGTGCTGCCAGGTATATGGGGGAAGTTCTGTCAAGACTTTGCCTTGCGTAATGAGGGAAGAGAGGCTTATAGGTGCGCTATGGGTGTATAGGTTTCCGGCTGTTACTAGAAGACTCCTCCATGGCTCTTTACCTCTAATAATGGTCGGAAGATAGCGGTGATCTTTCGTATCGGCCTTTGCAAGTGACTGACGAATGGGACCAGATAGCGTTGAATGGGGTCCGATCTCCAGAAACAGCTTTGACTGATCGTCATCTCCAATGATCCGTTGAATTGCCGTGTTGAAAAGAACGGGAGACTGCAAGTTCTTGCGCCAGTAACGGGCGTTCAGAATTGAGGGATCTGATATGATTGTTCCCGAAACAGTGGAGTACATTGGCAGCATAGATAGTTTATGCACGCAATGCGGATGAACCATCTTCTCATACGCCTCCCCAGCTTCGACCATATGGTGTGAATGGTAGGCAACATTGACAGCAAGCTGTCGATAAAATAATTCATTGTCGTGAGCACGGATGCCATCCAGAACTTCATCGAGAGTGTCACTATCACCTGAGAGTGTGACACTTTCTGGGCTATTGTCACAAGCGATGACGACGCCCGGCTTCAAGAATGGCCTTGCCTTTTCTGAACCGAGACCAACGGCTGCCATACCACCATGACGTTTGGAAGAGAAAGTCTTCATTGCTTGGCCACGGAAATATGCGACGAGAATTGCAACCTCAGCGGACAATGCACCCGAGGTATAGGCAGCTGCAATCTCTCCACTGGAATGTCCCACCACTGCATCAGGTGTGATGCCCCAGTGTTGAAGAAGGTTCACAAGAGCAATTTGAACGGCTGTGCAGAGTGGTTGCGCAAATTCTGCCTCCACAACTCGGCTGTTATCGTCGCATTTCAAAAGCTCATCTGGATTCTAACGTTAGATCTGCTCTTTTGAAGTAGAGTGCGGACATACCTTCAATAGACCACGAAGGCCCACCCGTAACTCCTTGCAAGACACGGTCCATCATCCGAATGTCTTCCCGGAAGATTCCTACTCTTTCAATCAATTCTCGGCCCATCCCGGGCCACTGGGCACCTTGCCCGGTGAATACGAAAACGATGGGTGCTCTGGAGAACTTGGTCTTCTCAAAAGACAAAATTTTACCATCCGCTTCTGTGAGTGCAAATGCCCTGTGTGGCATGTGTTCTCGCCTTAAACCCAGTGTGTATGCAATATCGCCTAATGATGACTTGGTTGTCTCCAAGTACTTCTGCAAATTCTCAATCTGTCCATCTAATGACCGTTTTGATCTCGCAGAGAGAACCAGAAGCTGAGGACCTGGCTGGTCATCCACACCTGTATCGTCCTGCTGCAGGGAAGAGGCAGAATCAAGGATAACCTGACCATGTCAGCACTCACACAACAGACTCCGATGAGAAAAATTTGCGGCATTAACTTACGTGAGCATTCGTTCCGCCAATTCCAAATGAATTGATGCTTATTCTCTGGCTTCGGTCTTTCGGCCAGGCGGTAGCTTCCAAGGGCAGCTGCAGCTTCGCCTTTTCAAATGGAACTATGTTGAACACATATTAGCACTTGGACATAGAATTTCGAATAGCTGAGAGGGTATGATAACGCACTGTTGGGATTTGGACTTTGGAAATGAACATTGGGTGGAATGGTTAGATTCTCTAAAGCCAAAACACTCTTGATAACACTGGTAATTCCAGACGCGCCTTCAGAGTGCCCAACGTTTGGTTTGACCTTGAATCGCATCAGCATACAATGTCATTAGAAAGGAGCTAGGAAGAACACATACCGCTCCGATATAAATACCTTCTTTTCCGAAGACATTGGCCACAACAGATGTCTCTGATGTATCTCCAACAGTTGTCCCGGTGCCATGACACTCAAAGAAAGCAGTTTGTGACACCTTGTCAATTCCTGCTTTCTTATATGCTCTTCTGATCAATCTTTCTTGCGCCGCGGACCCAGGGGTTGTGATACTAGGAGTCTTCCCGTCGCAATTCACTGCACTAGAGCGAATGACAGCACGAATCGGGTCACCATCCTGGAGTGCTTTGTCCAAGGGCTTGATATATATGGCGTTGACTGCCTCCCCCCTTCCATAGCCATCTGCTGCGGCATCAAAAGTCCTGCAAATTCCACTCTTTGAAATGACCATGTTATCAGACATCGAGGTCGTCATTGTCGGCGTGAAGATGAGATTCGTGCCAGCCACCAAGGCAGAAGAACATTCGCCGGAATAGAGGCCCTGACATGCTTCATGAAGGCCTACCAAGGAGGATGAGCAGCCCGTTCGAAAGGTGATGCTTGGGCCTCCGAGGTCGTACTCGTAGGAGATACGATTGGAGATGGCATAGTCACCCGCCCCAACCACGCGGTATCTGTCATTGTCTTGGGTGTCCTTTGTCTTTAAGTCCAGCCAATCCTCACCAAAAACCCCAACATAACAGCCAATGTTCCTTCCCCGCCATCCTGTTTGTCCGCCATTCTCCATACATTCCCATATTATCTCTAATAAGAGCCTTTGCTGCGGATCAAGCTTCGCAGCCTCAACCTTACTAATGCCGAAAAAGCCCGTGTCAAACTGTGCAATATCATGTTCAAGGAAATACCCGTGCTGTGTTCGGATTGTACCGGTCCTCGAGTCGTCATGAAAAGCATCAATGTTATAGCGGGTATCAGGGACCTTGCACAAGCCATCGCGCTTGTTAACCAGAAAGTCCCAAAACTCCTTTTCGCAGCTGACGCCCCCAGGTAATCTCATGGCCATGCCAACAACCGCAACTGGGAAAGGGACACAGCTATCTTCAGTGTTGTCGACATCTTGGGGAGATCGGGTTCCGTCGTTGGTTTCGGGGCTCGTCGCGGGAGTATGAAGGGCATTTTCCAAGATCTCAGTCGAGCTTCTACTCAGAGGCACCCCGCAAGTGAGCGCACCATGAGCAATTCCAGTCATATCCGCAGTGTTTATTCGGGTGCAACAAATGCGTCCGCTGCCAGTGTGAAGTCAACTCTGGGGAGTGGCCGTGGCGATGAGAAGAGGAATGATGTACGGGTAATTAGAACATGGGACTTGTTTAGGTATATTAGCGAGCGCAGTCTCCTATAGCTAGACACCAATTTATTATAGTGGTCAATTGAAGATCAACACACGACTTGTCAGGATACGTCGACTGCGTCGGACCCATAGACCATCGACGGTCTGATCGGCGCCATCTAGCTAGATCATTACAATTCCGGTATTGATGTGATAGAATATTTGATTTCAGCTGAGGCTGAGAATACTATGGCGCTTGATCGTCGTTAAGCTCTAGCGTGAAGCCGTGCGCTCGATCTATCGAGAAGATTTACTCTGTACCCCGTATGAGATGGTTGTTTACACCGCCATTCCAGCGAATCTGGACCCACGTCGAGTCAAATAGTCGACCTTCAACAAGAGCATTGAGACCCGATACGTACATAGTACCTGTACTCTGCATACATAGTATGCAGTCGGAGGAGCACTAGTTGATCTTGCTGTCATATTCTGCCACATTTTCAAATAACATGATACATACGTGATTTCGGTACATATGGTTTATGCAACAATGCTATAGTCTCCTAGTTGGCCCCATATCTCAGCTGTCCGTCGTCAAACCATTTTTCTCCAATCTAGTCATTGTGTATTTTTTTCGTTTTTTTTTTGAAGAGTATTTACGAAGTAGTTAAGAGGGACTGATGTGAAACCGTGCATTTTCGGAAATATGCTATCGCTCCTGCATCCACCAAATAAACCGCCGACGCAGAGTGTAAACGATGGCCTTGCAAACGGTAATCCCTCTGCACTCAAAGGATGATACTTGGACGAATCGAAACATTGTTCTTGAGTTACCCTCCACTTTGATGATGTGTTAGATCCAGGGCATCTCCACCGATCCCTAGCGAGATTGATGGAAATCGGAGAGTGGAAGAAACTCGGCGCTCGCTTGCATCTCAATGTATGTAGAATTTGTTTCCCTGTGTATACCAACCGAAGACCTGATTAGAGCCGAGAGGGTTCTATAGAATGCTGGCGGACTTGAATATCATATCCCCGAGCAGTACGACTCGAACAGTCCTGGCTTCACGTTTTCAACCGTCGAACGGGATGGGTGTTTTAAGGATGACCCGTGTGATTCAACATTGCCCCGGGGTACTGGATCCCCGACTGTGTTTCGTTTCTCGGCCTCTAATGTCGATAGTTTATTGTACAAGCCTGATTCACCGAGAAAATTTGAAGACTGGATATACACCGACCGCCCGCAGCTTGACCTTCATGTCTTGACCTTTCGAGACGCCACGTTAGTGAAGCTGGTATGGCTTCATACCTTGATGGACGCTTTAGCGCGGGCTAGCTTGCTCAAGGCGTGGACGGCTGTTCTTCGCGGTCGCGAGGATGAAGTGCCACCATTTCACGAGATTTTGGAAGACTCTGATGGATTTAGATGCGCGGCCACGACTTGAGTGATTCGTCGGTCCCGTTGGATGGTGAATATTTTGCAGTGTCTCGGATTGCTGCTACTTATTATCCGGATGATCTGGGAAATGGTTGGTTACCCAAAGTATGAGCACTGAATGGTTTGTATACCTGGATCAGTCGTGGCAGAGATGCGAGAGGCCGCAATGGAGGAATTGGCTATGGGATGCGACGAAGGGAAGCCACCTTTTGTGAGTGAAAGCGATGTCCTCGTTGCGTGGTAGGCCCAGTGCACCGTCCGGTGCATCAAACCGCCTGTGGACAAGCCCATCACTTTGCTTAACAACTTCAATATTCGGCCCGTATTTCTAGAGTGGTTTCCGCAGGGTACTGCGTATATTGGAAATGCATGGCTAACTGCGCATACTATTATCTCTTCTGGTCATATGTTTGAGCGACCTATCAGTTACCTGGCTTCCAAGCTCCGCTATTCTCTTCTGAACCAGCGCTCTAAAGAGCAAGCCCAAACATATACGGCTGTTCAGGAAGAGGGCATGAGTAAAGCTAGGAGTGGACTTGCATCGTGGATTGGTGTGTCAGATATGCTGATCCATTGCTCGAACTGGCATCAAGCTAGATTTTTCGACGTCGATTTCTCGTCTGCGGTGGCTAGCTCGAATTGTCCGAATGAAATGAGGACTCACCCGCTGGGCAAGCCCTCTCTCATCATACCGAGAACTTTTTATCGATGGCCAATGCTATTGAATCTTGGATCGGTGATTGGAAAGGATGCGGATGGGAACTGGTGGTTGACGTGGCACTTGAAGAAGGGCGTGTGGAGGGAAATTGAGAGGCAGCTTGCAAGTATGGAAAGGCAGTCTTACCATCTAACAACTTGATGTTTATTCCAAGAAAGAGACTGATTGTACTGGTAGATTTGAGTGTACATGAAAGTAGATTTAATTGTAATAGCATCGACAGCTCACTATGTTATTATCGAACCTCTGACCAAGGACTCCTCCCGAGAAACCGTAGCTTATCAGTTCTGGTAAGCTTTGGCGGCCCTTCTAAACGCATCATCGATCTTATTCGAGTATGGCTCCACCAGGCGATAATGTTCGTCAGATATGTGGCTTTTCATCACATCTCCCAACTTCTTCTCGTGCAAATGGTCGAACATCCCCTGTGCAACATACTGGACGCCAGCCTTCTTGCACTCGGGAGCCTAATTAATTTGAATGATTAGCGTGAAAGGAAGAGAGGTGTACAATTCGATCTTACCTTGTTGTGCGCCACATTCAGCAAGTCCATCACCTGGGGATACAAATCCTTGTATAATTCCATAATATCCGAGCTATCTTCATCCGTTAATCATCAGGCCCAGCGAGATCTTTCCGGGCAGTTCCAAATGTGGTTTTGGCGCCATGAAGGCCTTGGCTACCATGAGGTTGGAAATGAGTCCGCCGTCGTATTTTTCTATGGTGCCCTTCGCCCTGCTTAGCTCGCGAGAAATGGCCTTCTTGTTGGACGCAATTTGTTTGGCATCAATTGCGGCAGTGGCAGGGGAAACGAATAATACGGCGGTTAAGAGGTACTTGATGAGCAACATGGTGTAGTGATTCAGGATAGTGAGAGTGGAAAAAACAGACTCGGTGTTAGGTAATAACAGGAAAAGCTAACGAGCAGCACGCCCTTTGAGCTTACGGCGGGTGCCTTGGATTCTTAAGATTGGTTTTAGCTGTAGCTATTACCATTCGGGATTTGTCAATGTTGGCCCCAGGACTATATAGTACTAGTGCGTTTAGTATCTTGCATCATTATGCGATCTAGCAGCGATGATCATGGGATATCACAGCTGAATGTAATGGGATTTCGATGTTTACAAAGCTGTATTTTTTGGGGCTTTACTTCGGATAGGAAGAAACAGATACATATCAACAACAACAACAACAACAACAAAAAAAAAAAAAAGAGCTCCTTGCTGGGTACCGGCCATTATATGACTTGCCTCATGTTTGGGATTTTGGAGGAAGTCTGCAAGAGCCTTTTCGAATTCATTTCCAAGACTCTTGACATGTCCCGCGAGTTCTGTGTGGTTATCTACTGGTAGTTTCTGCTTGGACAAAGTTTCATACGTGGCTCTTTCCTTAGCAAAGCCTTGTAGAATGATCGTCGTGAATGCCTTCAGCCTTGCCGAGTTGAGGTGGTCGGTCTGCATTCAGCTTAGTATGATTCTTTTCTAACCAAGCAAGATTGACATGGAACAGTTGTCATATCTTGGAAGATACGGTGTCCAAAATGTCCCTGATAAACGAGCGAATATCATGATAGTGGCCCAAGTATGTGAAGACTTGGTCCGCTGGAACAGAGTCCAAATCCGCCAGGGTATTTCTCGCCGAGTTGCTACTCATCATGAGATTGTAAAGCTCATAACCGCAGCGCAACCTCTGTCCAGCACCACCGTCGAAGTTCTTGACGCATTCATGGGTGGAGAGTATTTGCTGGTGGCAGCTAGAGAAAGGGTTTGAATGGACACAAGAGGCGCCAGGAGGACTGATAGTATGAACTGTTTGAACAGCATCGTGACATATCTGGTATGTCCGTGTAGTTCGTACTCTGTACAGTTTCTTCATGTCGGTTACCCTATGCATTTTATAAGGTTCGTTCCAAAGCAGATCATACTGCGAGGGGCGGCTTATCCACACACTGTGGGTATTGGGTATCAATAGTTTGCTCAGCTGCGGTGATAAAATTTCACCTCTGCATAAGCCGAAGCTAGTCCTAGTTTGCCCTTCGTAGTCCACTCTGTACCGCTGTGCCAACTCAACCGGAAAGCGAACCGCCATATGTACGCTTTAAAAACCAATGTGACTCTATTATGGCTGTAACTCGTCTAATTGAGGTGTTATATGGCTGCTATGGCATGTAGTAATTATAATACGAAAGAGCCGATAAATCCGTCTGTCCCTGAGCTCCACTTTTTACCACCGTTTATGGCAAAATTCTGGACTCTGTTCCTCCCTTCTACAATACAATGGAATCCCAAAATCGTTGCAAGCGGATAAGTGTGCAGCTTCTATGTTTTAATTGGGAAGGGCTGTGTATGCCAACATAGGTCCTTTAGCAGCATCTTTTGAGAGATTCGGATCTTGTGTACCTATAGAAGAAAGCCAGGGTATACAAAAGTATAATGTTAGAAGCTAAGTAATACGGTATTTGTATGGCACACTAATTCCTCAAAATGCTCTGACTGTAAAACTCATAGTATACAAATGAGACTATCTATTCTAGCCATGGCATTGAGAGATGCTTGACACTTGGCCTTATAATCAACAGCCGCAATGAAGGGCTAGCCTGGCGAAAGCCTTTACCAGAAAACACTCCGCCCCCATAGGCTCCCTATCCGCCGTACGTGTCCACCACGATTTTGCGGCCTGTGACGCCCGCGAATTTGCCGGAGGGGGTTACGCCAACATCGCCGGACGGCTGGATCTGTAGTTTCGAATGGGTCAGTGGCTCAACTAGAAAGTATCTACATGGTAAACTAAGCAAAAAGCCCCACATGGTAGATGGTCTGGGAGTCCAGATACTCTGACGGTATCGCCTTGCGAATGACCTGATCGATGACTGCTTCACGGAGTTCCTCAACGGTCACATCTGGCGTATGCTGGGCGGTTAAGATAATCGTATGGACGCGTAGGGGAATCAGTTTTCCATCCTCCCGCATGTGCTCTACTGTAACCTGCGTTTTGGTGTTTAGGAGCAGCCAAGGAAGAATGCGACAGGTCAATGGTCAAGGGTAGACCTCGCCCTCACCCGCGGGTGAACAAACAAATCAAACATTATAATATTAGGTTAGATTACCATTTTATGCATACAAATCAGGTAAAGCGTGGTAATTTTATGAAATTTTATGAAAATGAGGGTCGGGTGGAGGGTCTGGGAGAGGTCTAGTCAAGGGCCTACAAGTTGTCAGTTAGCATTTGTGCGATAGACGTGAACAAGCCCGACAGTGCTCACAGTAATTTAGGGGTCTCATCGGAAGCATAGCTGAATATTATACCCTGTCCCAGCAGTTTCTCCCTCGGCCGGCTCGAGGTCCACAGAATGTGCAGAGCTAGGCACCCGTCGCTCGACATGGTTTATGACTTGACAAGTTTGATAATCAAGCTCTTGCTCAGGTGTGTCATGGCCAATGTCTTTAAGGACCATGCGCACAATGGCATCGACATCAAAGACGGCGACGGATTCGACAACCCCGAACACACAGACCAAGCCTGGTCGCACTGCAGCTTCTTTGGCAACCTTGGAGAGAGGGTTATCTTTCAAGCAGAAATCAAGGATGGCATCTGCAATCTGATCACATATCTTATCCGGGTGGCCTTCGCCAACAGATTCCGAGGTGAAAAGAAAGGTGCCAGGGGGCGCAGTGTACTTCATGATGGTATGTATTGTAGATTTAGTTAAACGAGCATGGAATATGGATTATTTGTTCCGTTTTATATTCAAGCTGTACTTTGATGACATCTAATTGTATAATATGATCTAATTATTTCCTGTACAAACCCGTGAGAATGTAAGCCAGCATGGTGAGCCGAGAATGTAGACTAGACTAGTATGGGCTGCATGCATAATTCATTTCTTTTAGGGATTCAATGGTTTTGTACAGAGTATATCAGATCATTCCGTGACGGTCTCAAGCAATATAAATCTATTGGTAAACTCTCTGGCGAAATACTAGCACGAGGAAGGAAAGGAAAGAACGCTGGGCCTGCCAGCGCTGGACTATTTAATGTGTGAGGAATCTCGTCCTATAACCGAACAAAGGAATCAACATAAAGGAATCAAGCATGTCATATGACTGAGCAAGTGCTCATGCTCCGTGACAAATTTTTCACCAGGTGTAGAGTATACTTCGTATTATTCATTACAGGAACATGACCATAATGGTCAACATATGTTAGCACAGACCCTATATAGATGATCCAATTACCTGGCTATCAGGGTGGGCACTCAGGCTGTTCAGCTGAAAATGCCGCAACCCCCCCCCTCTATGTGCAGCTAGGATCAACCAAAGGGGGGAGTCGTGCCTGAATATAGGTTGATCACCGGTGAGAGCCGGGCTGATCTTTCTCCCGAGTACTCTTATATCACTAATGGGACCTTATTTCGGTAAGCCTGACAGCCGCCACGCAGGCCATCTGCTAACCTCAATCTGGATCTCCCTGCTCTGTATGTGGAGTCTCAAACTGTTATAGACGACATGGAGCGCAAACAGCCAGGTGTAATACGCCCCAAAGGTGCCGCTGCACAAGCTTTTAATGTCCAGACCATGGCTCATTTTGTTGGGTTGGTCGTTGGTCCTCTTTGGGGTGAATTTATCAATTACCGCTATGGCTGGGAGACTGACATGGACTCCGGGCTTGTTCACTTCTGTGAAAGCAATTCTGATGCTTTGATTGAGTGGCAAATCTCATGATCGTGAAGTTCATAGAATTGGAGAGACCGAACCTCTTCTACAAGGCAGATCGAGTGGATAGGGGGATATCATCCACTTCGCGTGGGCGATTTCGGAGCTTTACCTTTCACCCATGTTTCTCGAGGACATCGGTATCTAAGTTATATTTCTTTTATCTAAATGACAATTAATTATATCTCTTTAACAGTATAAAGCCGGCCTTAGAGTGTTTACATTGAAGCCGTATCAGTTTGCTAGTACCATTGATCATTGGATTTCCCATTCCTGCCTGCAACACTAGGTTATAGGACACTACGGCCTGAGTATGCTATTAGTGGTATGTGTGATATCCACATGTATGCTCACTGAAAATACCAAAACTAGCGCCCCCAGCGGCTGCTGATAGGGCAGGGGACCCCCGTGGTAGCGGATCATGTTGGTCATAGTTGGCGTCATCATCGCCGTCGCCGTCGTCTTCATGTTCGTCGATACCGGAAATCTTTCTTGCAGTTGAGTCATAGTCGCCATAATGATCATCAGTTCTTCCCGGATTGAAATCGCGCGGCGCTGCGCGATGCTGGGTGATGGCTCACCCCCGGTTCGGCCGGTTAGTAGTTGAGTAGGTGACCACCAGTGAATCCCGGCTGTTGTATGTTTTCCTTCCCCCTTCCCCTCCTTATTCTAAGAAAATTGTAAAAAATTGCCTCCTGTCGAGACTATTTGAACGGTTTACCCGCCTGCCCACTACTTATCTGTAGTCGGTGGACTAAGACGCAACGTCAATATCAGCGAACGTAAGACTATATTCCATGTATCATTTTCATACAGCGTATTCTCTGTCAACTAGACAAGTAATGCCTAAAAGTAATGTCACAGCCATTTTAGATACATGGGCTTTCATGATAGATCCATTTCAGTCCAATACTTCTTAGGAATCACAGGCACTGTTGCATTCCTAATCTTCATCAGTCTGCGTTGCTGCTGCTCAATTCATCGGTTAAGTCTGGTCAACTGCCACCTTTTTCTTTTTCATTTCTGGCCTTGTGTACTCCTAGGGACATTTCTGACGCTATTCGATATATTGAAATCTTTGCTGTTCTCGTCTTTAAGTTCTGTCGAGGAGAGTGAGTATCAAAAACATCTCATACATAAGGATTGGCTAACAACGTACTTTGAATAGTAGATTCACAGTAAGGATTGTCACCTAGACTAACCAAGGCGACATTATTTACGGTAAATACTCTGGAGACTACGGTCGTATCTGCTATGCCGGTGTTGAGGATCAGTTCTCATCCAATAGGAACAAGCTTTTCATTAAGTATGTTGGTTATTCTCTTTCACGATATGAGTTTGGCAGATATGCAATTTCCTATGCGATTTAGGACTCTATCCTTAGCTCTGCTACCGGATAAATCTGACGGAGTGTATTAGTTGGCTCGAGGGCGTATAGCGACTATGCCACCCCTTCCCCAAGATCATAATCTACAGCGACATCATAATCATCTCTGTTTATATGCAGTAATTTTAAATTGGAATAACTAGATGAAGGTGTGATATTGGACTATAAACCGGGACCCTTCTCCCTTGAAGATCAACTGCGTCTGAATCATTCCTTATTCTTACCCACCCAGTCCAAGCGCATCAGTCACTGACCCGAGTCCCAGACTCCCCAGTAACTTATCAAGTCCCAGTCCACCCAGAAGGCTGTTCACAAGACCACCCAGTCCGAGTCCATTCAGCAGACGACCAACTAGTCCCAACACACCAGTCAGCAACAAGCCCACCGCCGCAATGACCTGGCCCAGCGGCTCCGTGAGCAGCGCCCACAGCGGATTAAGCTCTTTCTTCGCATGAGGCATGTCCGCGATGCGATTCTTCGCGTTGTCAATCGTCGTGCAGACCGTCTCGGACAGCTCCTTCAGTTGCTCCGCCAGCGCATGTTCTTCCTTGGACGCCTCGTGCGAGGCGGCGCGGGCTTTCGCATTGGCCGCGACGTGGCCGTCCGGGTCGAGGGCGCGAATTGCCCCGTTGCTTTCTTGGAGTATGTTGCCGCCTTCTTCAAGAAGAGGCTTGACTTGTTTTACGAGCCCTTCTTCATCGAGTTCTTCTTTGGGAGTGCGATCTGCGCGTTCGACGTGCTGAAATGGTGTTAGTTGAGTTTTTGCAGGAATTTGTTGGACTGGTGGGACTTGCCTCGGAGATTGTCTTGCAGATGGGGCGGAGACGATCCAGTGTCTGGCCGACGATGGCATTCATCTTCTTCGCCAGCTGGCGGTCCTCTTCTTCCTCCTTCTGCTTCTGCAGTTCCTCCGGGGATGGACCGGGCTCTTCGGCTTCAGGCTCAGGCTCAGGCTCGGGGATGTTCTCGATCAGAGTACATTCGCCCAGCTTGTTGCCGTCATTGTCCACGACGTTGCCATTGTCGTCAATTTCTTTTCCGATGAGTGTGGGCAGGTTGCCGGAGGTCAGCTTTCCGATGAGGTTTCCGTCAACATCGCGCACTTCTCCTTCGCGGGTGACCTTGCGACCAGCCATGGGGTTGACGTTGCGCTTCTTCTCATCGGGCTGCCAACGTTCCGCACGACCAATTGTGTTACCACTCTTGTCAAGGATTTCGCCGTCTTCGTCGACCTGGCGCCCAAGCAAGCGCAGGGCATCGCCTTCGATGACACGGCCGATTGTGCTGCCCGTGGCATCGGCCACCACGCCGTCCTTGCCAACGACGGCAGTCTCGAAGCCATAGAAGGGACCCTCAGGCTTCTCCTGCTCAGCGCCGGGGATCAGCTCTGCCTTGCCGAGGACCTGGCCTTTGTCGCCCCAGATCTGGCCTAGGCCGTCGACCTTGCGACCAGCCAGTCGACCATCGCCGGAGACAATGCGCCCAAAGACGTTGCCCTGGGCGTCGACGACATTGCCGACCTTGTTGACTGTCTTGCCGTCCAGGATGGAGAGATCAGTCTCAGCCTTCTCCTCAGGACGCTCGTACGGCTCGTCGGACGGTAAGTCGCGCTGTTCCTGCTCGGCGGAGAGGGGCTGGGTTTGGATGGGGGTTGTAGGCTGGTCGTCGAGGGGGTTGGGTTTCTTGGAGTGGGGGGTGATGTTGGTAGACATCTTGATGGGGTTGGTTTCGACAGGATTGAGTTTGAGATTGGGGTTGATACTTGGTGTTGGGATTGGTTCAATACATAAAAGATCGTAGATGGTTGAGTGGAAGAATCATATGTTGATATCGTTAGGTATAAGTCGTACGGCGTAAGTCGTTATAATATATATATCCTTATCATCAACTCCAACAACCGTAGGCAGTTACCATCGATGTCATACCATACCAAGGTCGTCATCATCATCATCATCACAATCCCATCTCTTCTTGATTAGAACGAGCCCACTGACGTCAGAAACCACATAAGCTACACAAATTTTCCACCCATAGACCACGGTAGACTTGGTTGATGATAATAATAGTAATTAAAAGGAGACCCCAGATCTCCCCATGATGCAGAACATGCAGGATTGGCATCATCTTATCGGGTCTTGTGGGATGATTGGAGGGCGGAGTGCCAATCATGACAACGGGCGTGGCCACTCGATAGATTAACCTGCCTTTCTCAGGGCCCGTTATGAAGTTATGGGCCCACTTGTTGGGTTGAGGGGGTGCGCTTGCGTCAGATTTTGCTATGTTATACTGGATTGGATTAATTGCATTGGATTAGTTGGATTGAATGATGAAGTTGGCATTGTATTGAAAAAAGAACTCTAGCTTTGCACATCAAATGAGCATCAGAAAGCGAAAATGGCTGCTACGGCTTGGTAACTAGTAGATATAATGGAGGATCTTTCTGAACTAGGCAGTCTCTCGACGAGAACAAGACCACAGCATCCTGCACGATGCAGTGATTGCAACCATGACGGCCATAATAGGCTAGACATTTAGAATGCACTCTTAGATAGTATTAGGTTTAATAGATTTGGCAGGCTTGAAATGAAGGGGACTAGATAGATGTACAAAGCACAGAAGCCTAGTGTCCGGTTATGCTATTGATGAAATGTCGTTTGCTGATAGAGGTCCCAAGGTGCTTGTATCCAGAGCAGAGGCGAGACGGCCAGCAAGAGAGGCGGCTGTTTCAACTGCCGAATTGCCTCCTTTGGTTCAGGTTCAAACATTAGTTCCACGTCATGAATTGGTTCCTGCTTGTTGCCTTGTGACACATCCCCAATTGCCGTAAATCTCTGAAAATACCACTAGTATACACATAATCTGGATGCATCTCTCATCTTTGCACTACACTGTAACAGTAAAAGGATAGTAATCCAGGTGCTGCATGGTATTCCACAATCTCCGCCAGTTGCCGAGGAGGGAATTGTTTGAAATTGATTAGTTAAGTTCTCAACTTGCAGTGGGCTAAGCAGCCCTTTACCCCTTTACTGAGTGCTGAAAATGCTGATCCTTCACTAACATCCTAAATTTCACAAAGATATCAATCATCTAAAATCGAATTGTACCAGCTTTTGCATACCCCCCTTTAGCCAGATCCCTTTCAATCCTGAAGACCGGGCAAACGAAGTGGTCAGGGGTACGAATGATGGTGATGTAAGCATTGGCTGAAGGCGACTTCAGGGTTCTTGGGGAATGAAAAGTCTTCTATTTGCCTCCACCCACTCTTTGAATCCCATGGAAGACTCCCCTGTGTACAACTGCACGTTCTCAACGCCAATGTTGTAGCATGCGTGGTCCGCTAGCTCATTCGATGTGTCTCCAGACTTTCGCACTATATATTCCGTCATCGGCTTGGGAATGCCAGCCTGAGTGTACTGATCCAAAGCCTCCTGTTCGCTGAGGGCTGTGACCTTAATGTCTTTGCCAATAATCTTCCCAATAATCGCAATAGCATCTCCCTGCGCAATGACCTGCGGGCCATACAAATACACCTTCCGTTGCCCATTTCGCGGTCCCTGCACCAAGATCGTGCCGCCCACACGGCCCATGTCTATGGGCGTGATAAAATCAAACTTGAAGCCAGGTGCATAGACTTTTACCTCTCCAGCTTCAATTCCCTGCTTGTATCGTAACAAGTTCGTGGCAAAGCCACCGGGCCTTAGCGCGACGTAGTTATCAGGCCCGAATATCTCGTCAAGACTGATCTCGACTTGCGCGTGGATGTAAGGGATAACTTCACTCGGGGGAACGTCTCTCGGCTCTCCTGCAATGGTGTAACTGCTCAGGAAAACAACAAACTCAATGCCGGCTGATCTGAGTGCTGTGAGGGTGGCTCTCATATGGTCAGAAGTACCGTGAGCAAGATAGGTGAATGCACGCTTTGTCCCTGATACATTCACAGCTGCAGCGACAGAGTCGGGGCTGGTCAGGTCGGCATGAATTCTTTCATAACCACCTTTCCGTTCTTGCTCAGCACTCAGGCCAGGAATAGGCTTCTGAATGTCTCGCATGGCCAAGAATACTTTGGCTCCATTCTCTTGGGCAGTACGTGCCGCAACGGAAGCGACGCTACCAGTCGGGCCAAAGATAATCACAGACATCGGCCAGGATGGTAGGGCTAAAAGAGGTCACGATATTTTGGGGTAGATGTATGAGATGAGTTTCACGGATAAGCAAGTAGCACTTTTATAGCATTTTTAGGGGAAGTGGGCTTCACTCGTCATGCTCTTCGGACTTTAGACATTATCTCCGTGGAGCGGCCCCCGGTAGTTATAGTTAACCATCAGCCGATAGACCACCAGTGAATCCCGGCTGTCGTATGTTCTTGTATCGCCGAAAACACCGATAAGCCCGCCCGTCACCGAGATCCACCTTTCAACTACCATTCATGGCCGAACCCTGGATTTTCTTCACTCTTTTTACTCATCAACAACAGAAAAAATGGACTCCCAGAATCGTCGCAAGCGGAGAAGGACGCGGCTTTCATGTATAGAATGCCATCGGCGTAAAGTCCGTTGCGACCGCAATGATCCATGTGGCCGGTGTATGTCGGCAGAGATACGCTGTGTCTATAAGGCCTCTGGGGACGAATGCTCGACAAGAGGCAATTCTACAGAGAGTCTCGGTACTCGTATCGCGCAGGCATCCACGACCAACGTGAGAACTCCGCGCCATGCTGAACAAGACACGCCCCCTGCAGCTGCACCAAAACAGCACGATGGGAGCCAGAGGGAGCTCCCGCATGCACGGGACTGTATCACAGAAACTCATCGCGGCAGGACTGATCCGATGGATCAGCATAATGTCCGTGGGATCTTATCCAAAGCTTGTCTCTTCGGAAATACCCATCCCATCACGACCTATCGCCAGGTTCGCTTTTCTTGCCCCATTTCTAGTGTATAACGGGCCCGTCGATGTATTGCTAATGAGAACCAGTGTGATGAAATGTATCCAGCGAACTGCAATGTCAACTCCGGGGGCTCTAAAGACACCCGGTCGTCGCTGCTATCTGAGGCGCAGGCTCTGATCGCTTCCTCCAAAGCTCTGGCACGATCTGTGAAAAGACACCAGACGGTTACAAGCCTAACATTGGACGAGGCAGCCAGGACTTTGCCAGCTCGGGACGTTAGTAATATACTTGTCGATCATTGTATGCGCATCGTGGAGGGCCCCTTCCGTATCCTCCACATTGTAAGCTTTCACCGGGAATACTCGGCCTTCTGGGATGATCCGGGCACACGACGGCCTCTGTTTATCGTCATTCTCCTTCTGGTTATGTCTATTAGAGTCCATTTCTGCTACGAGGAAGAAACAGAGGCCCTGGTACGTCCTCATGTGCGCCAGTGGGTTCAGACGGCCCAGTCATGGCTGTCGAACACCCAGTGCAAGGAAATAGCTACCATATCGGGCCTACAGGCTCAGTGCTTGCTGTCCGTGTCTCTTCAATTCAATCACGGCAAGCCCCAGGGGATCTGGCTCGCGCAAGGAACACTGCTACGAACCGCCATCTATATGGGCTTACACCGTGACCCGTGTCACTTTCCAGATATGCCTTTTTACCATGTTGAGATGCGACGGAGGCTGTGGAGCACGGTTTTGGAGCTTGATGTGCAGGTATCAATGGACCTTGGGATGGTTCCTACAACGAGCGACTTCGATACTCTGCCCCCATCCAATGTCGACGATGATGCCTTCGATGAGACAACGACGACGCCTCCCAGACAGGCGACTCTGTCGACCCTGACCCAAGCCTCGCTGCAAATCGTCCTTCGCAGCTCCTTAGTGACCCGCATGACGATAGCTCGGCTCATGAATGATTCATTCACCGAGCCGTCATACGAAGATGTCCTCCAAGAGACTAGCACTCTAACAAGACTTTTTGCCGCCACCGAAATGAGCCTGGACTTGCTTTCTGCTGCACCAGGATTGACTACAGTCCATCGAAACCTAGTCAACTTTCTCACGCGCCGTTTCATGCTAGCTTTGCATCGACCGTTCGCGACCAAGGCATTCCAGGACCCACGCTACCACTATTCCCGCAAGATCTGTCTCGATAACGCCCTGCTTCTGCTCGCATCCGAGCCCGATCGAGACTTTGACCAATTGCTGCTGATGTCTGTGTCACTCTTCCGGCATATAATGCACCACGCCACCATTCTCATTGTCCTGGAAATTATGGGACAGATCAAAGAAGACCAAATCGATAAGAAACTGCTCCAAATCCACCAGGAAGACCGAACACGGCTTCTGGCAGCAGTTCGACAAGTCCCGAGCATCACCGCGAAGCGTCTCCACTTTGGCGAGACCAACGTGAAGAGCCACGTCTTCCTGCAGATGGGCATCGCGCAGGTCGAAGCCATGGAACAAGGACTGGAAATCACGGCACACGTTATAACGGCAGCAACGAAGAGCGCGCGACAGGCTCTGGAAATCCTGCAGTCGCAGAGGGCGATGAACGAGCATGAAGACGGCCATGCATTCGAGCACCTGGGATCGGAGCTTGGTCTCGTGAGCACGAATGATTCCGTTCCTCTTGCATTGCCCGAGAACGGAGATATGGACTTGGAATTAGGTGACATGGCTAGTTGGTTATTCTCGAACTGGGTGGACGAGTATCCTCTGTAGTCTGTCGTGCGTAGACGAACTTAACCAGGTCCTGACAAAGAAAGAGTCGACTCATGATATATATTTATATATAAAGAGAGAGAGAGAGAGAGAGAGAGAGAGAAAGAAAAATAGAAATTCGATAACTCTACAGCCAGATTATTAGGGTTAAGTAGGGTTGATAATATCCAGCCTATTCTGTGGTGTAGGGTTAGCATTTGTAAATGACTTCCAACGTGAATTTTGTTGCAGACAATCCCTATTTTCTCTGTTTTGATGGGTTTTGGTCCCCTGAATTCTCCCTTCCCCCCCCCCCCCCCCCCCCCTTTTTTTTTTTTAAAAAAAAAAAAAAAAAAAAAAAATCATTCTTTGATATCATTTTTTCATAGGATTTTTCATCTCTAAGTTAATAGGGCAATTCCTTGTTATCGCCGCTCGTCGCCCGAGTTTTCCACCGAGCGCCGCTAAAACCGATCATAGACAATATATTGAAGAAAGGTACATACACTCCATTGAATAATTTCAGAATCCAATTCGTTTCGGCTTCTCTTCTTCCCCGTTCCTTTTTTTATTTCCTGGCGCGATTATCCTGGTCTCCATGGTGTGAGATGGTACCATTTCCACGGGTTGACAGGATATCTATGGCAAGTCTTCAACATATTTATGCAACCTATCGTAGTATTATATCTGACATCTAAAGTCATTATGTATTATCAGCCGAGAGTCTGTCAGCGAAGCTATCAAATTGCGAGAATGTGTCCACTAGACTGGCGCTGAGTGTTCCAAACACCAAGTTCTCGATGGTTCAGGATACCAATACAACCAGGTCGAGACAATCACAATATACTAACCCTCACAAAGGCCTATAAGCTCCTCTTTCAGTAGTTCGAGTATCCCTTTATCAAGTCTTCCGTCGTCCAAGTCACAGACAACGTCATATATGTAGAGATCCTCCACTTTGCTTTCCCATCCCTGCTCTGACATGAATTCCTGTATCTTTTCAAAGATTCCCCCCACGATACCGTGAGTACATACGGGATTATCCGCGGCGATTTTCAGATTCCCGATTACAAAGATCTTCTTGTCCATTGAGAAGAGTCATTGGCAGATGAGCTGCAGGGATGATTGGCTTCCAAAAGATTCTGGATTATGTTGATACACTTTCAGTGTCCTGAGTACTTGTAGTACTGGTTAAGGGTGCCGCAATGTCGACTCTCCGCATAGCCTAACTTCACAAACATTGCTTTGGGAATCGAACTGCAGAGAACCGCCTTGTGAGAAAGTAAATCTCTCCAATTGTACCATTGTCTTTGCAAAAGTCTTAGAGAACTTGCAGACGGCGCTTATCCAGCACATCTAGAGAGATGGAATGGTTGAACCAAATCCTGGGAAGCGGAATCCCGTCAACAAAGTCCATTAGAATAAAAGGACACCGCAGCCCGCTACGACAATCGGCATCGAATAGTGGACCATGGGAAAAGGGATTGTAGTCTCCCACTTCAATGACTGCATTGTATGAGCCTTTCATATCCAAGCTTGCGTAGCAGATGCATTGAAGCTGTTGCGCGAGGCGGATTGGGAGCCTTCTAACGCCCAGCGGATGCCTTCGCTGGATTCTAGTGGACGCACGATGTTGAAGGATCCGGATTTAGGGGTAACACTTTTGTGCATCAAATATGAACATCAAACGGGTTATTCGGGTCGTCCTACCCCGCCTCGGATGGTTGATCACTATCGAGCCTGGCTGTTGTATGTTTGATTTTGATTTTATGAGTAAGTGAGGAATTGTTCTACTCTATAAAGATGAGTATATAGTATGGTAGACGGTATCATATGTTGGTTTGATCAGGTTGAATGATTACCCCTCGCCTCGATATATATATATATATAAAATGTACACTATCAAGGATTATAGTTAATAACCTCAATAGTCGTATCATCTAAGCTCACAGCTTGCGCATTTCTCGTCTCCACCCCGGAGTACCGGTTTAACCAACCCAGCACCTGCTGATGCCACACGATGCTGTTCTCGGGATCTTGTACCCTGCTTGATGTCAGCACTACACCCTTGTTTTGTTGTATGGATAGTCAAAGTCCCCATACCAATGGTTCTCATCCGGGAAGTTCAGAAAACGACTAGGAATTCCAAGTTCCTGGAGGACGTTGAAGAGTGCGACACCTTCTGATACGGGAAGACGATAGTCGTGCTCGCTGTGAATGACGAGCATGGGCGTGTCCCATTGGAGGATGCGCTCAGGGGAAGAGGGGTCCCAGAGGCGGTAATTGTCGCGGTTGTCCCAATAAGTGCCATTATTCTGTACCATGTCAGTGAGCAAATCTCAAGTAAGGAGAGTGAAGGAGAATTGACGTACCTCGTGCTGAGCGAACCACAACTCTTCCGTGTTGATCTTTGCGTCTGCAATAAAGCTTCCGTCATGGCTAACCAGGGCTTTGAACCTGCGGCCCAGGTCATTACCCTGGATCCAGTTGATCATGAATCCGCCGTAACTGGCACCCGCTGCCACCCCGTGGTCTGTGTCGATGAAGTCAAAATTATCGCGGACGTATTCCCAACATTTGACTAAGTCGTCGTAGGGTGATCCTCCTATCCTCGCTATTAGAGTATTGCATAGATCATCATGGAAAGCAGATAACATACCCCAGTTATTCTGGATCGCATCTGTGAGCGCATCGCCGAAACCAGTGCTACCAGTCGGGTTTGGTGCCACGACCACGTATCCCTGGTCTGCGAACACCTTGGCATTCCATCGTGTGCTCCATGAATCAGCCCAGGAACCCTGAGGGCCACCGTGGATGTAAAATAACAGAGGGTAAGATTTGCTCTTGTCAAAGTTTTCTGGATATACGAGGAAAGATTGAATCTATCGGGTCAATACCAGAAAGCGAATAAAGAACAAGAAAGCTTACATCAGTCCAATTACCCTGATAATAGAACTCACCAACATCAGCAGCACTGAGCCCCTTCAGCTCAGGATCGATCTCATTAGCAGACGCCAAAGTCTTGATGAGACCCTTCTCCGGACTCGCAATGTAAACGTTCCAGCTTGTCCAAAGAGTACTGCCGGTGACAAGCCAAGTTGAGTCGGGAAGCTGGTAGTAAGATGTCACAGCACCGCCGTCAGTGAAGTTCTGGGACTTGAAGTCATCTTCAGAATCTTCTGGAAAAGAGAAAAGCCTGGAGCGGCCTTTGTCTTCACTGGTAACCAACAGAGTCTTTCCATCTGCAGTCCATTTCGCAGTGTCCGGAGACCGGTCCCAACCCGTCGCAAGACTTGGAATAGTAGAGTCGGAGTCAATGCTGTATACATAAAGTGTGCGGCGGTCCGATTCGTAGTCATTGTCTTTCATCTGGAAGTAGGCCAACTTGTCACTTTCAGGAGAGAACACAGGGTTGCTGGAATCTCCATCGATTCCCTTGGGCTTGGCTGCGCTTTCGGGGCTATTAATCGCAACAGGCTTCTTGGAGCCATCATGGGGCACAAGGTAGATATAGGAAGTTGTGAAGTTGGCCTTTGGAAGGTCTGGTGCCTTGCTCTTGAAAGCTACCCACTTTCCATCCGGAGAGAGATTATAGTCTGATGACGTTCCGAACGGGGGATAAGGGGACTCAGCATTCTTGATGGGTGATACCAGGTTCCGTAGCGGGCCTCCAGAGACATAGCGGGGCTTTCCATTTGTACTAGAGGCGTTTCTAGCCTTCAAGGTACCGGAGAAGACAGCATTGAATTTAGTAGTGAGATAGCTATCCCAATGTCGGACGTATATACTGTCGTAGATCCGGGCAGAGCTTCGAGGCGTGATGGCCAGTTTCTCATTGTACGCTGTACCATTGCTATATGACTCTGCATAAGCAACAAATCGTATATCGCCGGTTCCCGTGGCGACGGCTTTCAGCCCCGAGAAGGAAGCCGGCAATGAAGCGGCCTTGTATCTACATTTATGAGTGATAAACAAAAACATAAAATGAACTGGCTAGCTTACCCATTCTTAAAGTCGGAAATATCGGAAACCCATAGCTCCACACCACCAGGGATGTTCGCGTTGGTGCTGTTGATATACAAGACACTAGAATCTCCCAGCCACACAATTTCGGAGACATCGCTATCGTTCGTGAGCCGGTTGATCTCCCCGGTTTTCAGGTCGATCAGGCTCCACCAAGAGGAGGACTCGTGAGTTCCGAAGGAATATTGTGACGTGGAAAACAGTGCGACATCCTAGTATGACCTACAGTGTCACCAAAACCATGCTCAATCAGCACGTGAGATTGGACTGTGAAATTTTCACATACGCCAGATCGGTTGGGGATAGCTTCGCTTCTGCTTGGAGCAGAGATAAGTTGCCTGGTTTGAAGATCAGAAACGCTATTTGTAGATCTCCGTCTAGGTTGATAAGCACTGACTCGGGTGTTATGGCCAAAGCAGTCGACGCTGCAGCAAGGACGGAGAACCACCGGAGCGGTCCCATAATGAGCTAAGATCGAGTATGCTCTGCTGGCATATAGACATAGAAGAAAGTGCGCCGTAGGAGCAATTTATAATCGTGAGGTTGACGGGTCACGCCGCCAGACCACCATCTTTTCCTGTATAACCCCTTACCGGATCAGGAAGGAGAAAATAACTAGCACAGCTTCCAATAAATCATGCATGCACTAAATGATCTGAAATGCAGGGCCCAATTGCATCAGCAGTCGAGAGATAGGTTACATCGGATAACCTCGGTTCTTTCTGGAGGGGTAAACACGCTAAAAAAGGGACTGTTGTTGCTGTTCGCTATTCCTTCGACGGCATTATGAGTATCACAGCGCCATGTGGTGCCATGCGCCTTGTGTAATAACAACAGCTTATCGAAAACCATGTGCTGATTATCGTATCACTTGGAAGTACAGGTTCGTTTCTGTTACTCGTGGCTGATGTTTCCGAGGCATGGTTCCGTCCTCACAGTGGTAGTCTGATATACATCAAGATGGCGCGGCAGGGTCTATCTTGCAGCTTCCGGGTTTCTCGCGGAATATGGCCAAATCGCCGATTCACGCCAAAATGGCGCGATATCAGTTGGTGTTGGACAAGATTGCTGTTTCTACTTCCGAGGCACTAATGCTCGTTTGACATTTTGATGACACAGGACAAATTTGATCTGAACGCGATATGGACAGCAATGTCTCAGACGAACTTCATGTTAAGCGATGCCCTTCCAACACCCTTCCCACCAGTGTGGAGATGGTCATGTCAGGATTGAGACGGTGTGCCTGCGAGCTGTCCGACCTAGTCTATATGTAAACCCGCCAGCTATTAAATCGTCCATGGTCTTCTAGTTTAGACCCAACCGGCGAAACGATAAAAGCCGTAGCAGATTCCCCAAGGGTTAGCTTCTTTCCCAGAAATATAAACAAGGATTGACCTCCGGAGCCATTTGGTTCTCGGTTTTTTATACGAGTATGATTGTATCGACGGAGTTTGTAGCGAAGAGCGGTGGTTGGAAGTACACAGAATTCTTATGCACTGATTGCTGCATATGTGAAATTTCCAACATATCAAGATATAGTTACAAGCCATTATTTAGTCTCCAATTGTATAGGACAAAAATATGTACCAAGATATGCAACTTTCTGGCTCGACTAATCACGTACTTTCTCAAGGCTGCGCCCAAGATCAGAACACCGTCTCTGCAAATCTCAACCGACCCCCCAGCAACGATAGTGAGCCAACCTCGACATCATTCCGTTTTGGCAAATTAGCTCCTCTTGTCTTCCCCGCACCCGCACCCGCACCCGCAGCAGCCCGCACTCGTGCCCTTTCCTGCTGAAAGACAAACCAAGTCATGTCAGCATTCCAAGTTTCCATAGCCTGTATCGCGTCGTCGACTGCTCTAGCCTCGACCTTGAGAGTCTCCGGAATCTTGGCTTCTGTCTCAGATGATGAGCGATAGAAGGCAAAGTAGTAATCAGGTCCAGCGTATCTCGCTACCCAAGCACCGATGAACTCGCAAATCTGGTCACCCATCGGAAGAGGAAGACGGACGTGTGTGAGTAGTGTAAGAAATAATGATGTTAAGGCCCGCCAGATACTGTGGTGCGGTGTAAATGTACGGATGTTGGATGGCAGTGTCCCTGCTACGGCGACAGCTGACGAGGTGGGAATGGCCGATGACAATGACTGCACGAAGCTAAAGGAGGGTTCGGAAGGTGAATTAGATTTCGGTATCTGACGAGCTGCTCGTCGGTTGAGGACCTTTTCTGCGTCCTGTTGGACTTTGTCCCATGCGCGTTTGTAAAGGCGTTCCCAGCGCGGGAACTCGCTTTCTACTCGGGATGCCATAAAGTCGCCGGCAGTGCTGCACATGACTTGAACGGTTTCAATGGCATTGGTGATGACATATGTTTCTTCTCTAATCTCGGACTCATCGGATCTCTGCTCCGCGCGGTCTGCGGAGGCAGCAGGGGCATCCCTTGTCATGAGGGAATTCGAAGATGACATATCTTTAGCGGAGGAAGGGAAGCTAATCCTCGAGACTACAGGTGGCCATAGGTCGTTGATGAGGGGTAGGAAGCTGGTTTCGTTTTGTGAGAGGATGGGGAAGATTTGTATGACGGTCGAGAGCAGGGAGCGGCGGAGGTACGGGGAAGGCGAGGATAGGTGAGACGGTATCGATTTGATAATGTTCAAGAGGAGTGTGTGTGACTTGGTTAGAGGCTTTTCGCTGTCTTCGGGTTCACGAGGTTCTGGGAGGGGTTCGTCCGTTTCTCCTTCCATTTTTTCCATGAGATCTGCTGCGGAGGTCAAGCTGGGCTCTGGTTGTTTGAGGTCCTTGGACTCCAGCGTCCAGGGCTGTTTCGGATGTGTGGACTTCTCCGTATCCCCATCTTCTTCTTCTAAGAGTCTAGCCCGTTTGGATTTCCGTGCAGCAAAGTCATTGACAAGGGTCGATACGTCAAGCCTCTCGTATTGGCGCTTGCGATGATCAGGGTATTCATCGTCTTCGTTTTCTGTAATGGCCAAAATTGAAGGCGTTTTTGCGCCTTCTTCGACAATGGCAGCAAGAGTCTTGAAAATCATTTCCGTAAGTTTTGGATATCCGTGATACATATCCAATATTCCGAAGATGGAGCCTATTAGGTCATCCAGATAGGGAATCAGTCGTGCCCCACACAACTTGATCATCATCAATAGCACTTGCGGTGGATACGGTGAGACATCGAAAGTATTCAGTTTCAAGCCAACTGCATTAACAAGATAATCGACGTTTTTGATAACCATAGTGCTTGTATCGCCGTAGTTGCACGCCGTCGTGAGGATGTTAAGACACGTCATGGCATGGTTTTGAAGGTTGTTGTTCCCGGAAGCCAAAAGCTGGAGAACAGGATATAGTGCATCCATGAGCTCTGGACGAAAGGCTTCGCCGAGCTGTTGCGCCTGGAGTGCGACCGCTTCTAGGGCAAGTGCCGACACACGCCAGTCTCGCGAGTCATCAATCAGCGGCTCATTTAATATGGGCAATGAAATGTAATACAAGTCTTCTATCATGTTTGATCTCGTGCTAGGAGACACGGAGGAGTCCACATAATCAAACGCTATGAAGTCATCGAAAGCTGTTGTAGCTTGCGAGCTGTTGTTAAGGAATGTCAAGGATAACCAGAACGGAGCAAGTATAGCATCCCCTGATGCATTATGCATCCGCCCAATGATTGAGCCTGTAATTCCACTACCAGAATCCGAAAGGCTAAGCCTGGTTACCATAGACTTCAGATCGGTGAGAGTCTGATGTTGGCTTCGATGCTCCATCAAAACAGGTGGAAAGGTCATTGACTTGTAATTACGCTGGCCCACTTCCAAGCTCAAGTTATTCGATGGATCCAGGCTCACTGGCTGAAGTATGTTGGCTGTGTGTCCAATGACAGCAGAAACACTGTCGCACAAGCCTCCAGCTAAGCCCGTCGTCAGGAGATCAGATCCAGACTGAACTTGTGACAAGATTTGGAAGACAGTCGATATCTGTTTGATACCCCATTGTTTTGCTGTTTCGTCGTTGCCCTGCATAGTCCGTGGAAAAGACATAACCCACGAGTTAAGCGAGTCTTTGAGTGAATCGAGGATTGTTGGATAGACAGTAGCCAGGTGCCTTAGTGATGAATACGCAGCATTTGGTGTCTGCCCTTCGTCCACATCTGACAGGACGACGATGGTCTCCACCATTACGGGTATTGAATCCTGGAGAGTATTTTGACAGTCCTCGATAATCATGAGACATAGGCCAAGGAGAGCAGTCTGTACTTCTGACCGCTCATGGCGCCTTATCTGAACCACATTAACGAGTGCGAGCCTGATCTGTGTAGTTGTAGCTTTCAACCACGAATCATCGAGCACAAGTTTGTCGTTCCCTGTTTCAGGCTGGGCTGTTTCCTCTGTGGTGCTAGCAACGCGATCATTCAAGACCGTCTTCAATATATGCGCAAGAACCTCGAGGCAGATAACGGAAAGCCGGTAGGAGCGCCTTATCTGGGTCGAAGGTTTCAGCACCTTTGTCAAAGCAGAAACCGTGCGCGGCATAATGCTTGCCAGCACAACTCGATCAGTTATACGACGATAAAGACCTTGGAGTGCTTTTGCAGCAGCGAGACTCAAGTCATCAGATCTGCTATCCGTAACGCCTTCAAGCAAGATATATACTGTCTGATCAACAATTGTCGCGGCACCAATCTCATTGTATACAGTTTCCTCCGCGAGAGGGCCACCCAGGGCGTCAAAGATGGCAGAAAAGCAGTTGAAACCCGCAATAATCAATTCCTCCGGCCGAGTACTTGCCGCCTGGCCTCCATTGGTCCTATTTGGTACGCCACCGACTATAAGTGTCAACAGTATTATGAGCTGTTTCCCCATCATCGGGGACAGATGCTGCCGCCATCCTTTTGCGACGAGGATTCGCAAGCAATTGACGGTTAGTTCCAGACAACGCGCGGAAATTCGTTGTGTCTCATTGAGTATATGTGAAAGCGGGAAGAACGCATATTCCGCTAGTTTTTCATCAAGCGCATCCTTATCGGCGAGTTCCTTTAGGTTGTTGTATAATGGCTCGAGGGCTCGGGCAACATCGTTTGAGGTTGCTTGATGGCCACGGAATCCCAACCCAACAGCGCTGAGCTCAACACATTTTGGGCGCAGCTGTCTTCAGTCAGTCGGGCTAGTAAAGTATTGAATAGAGTATATAATTACCTTTCTAAAGGATTCTTGCCTTGAAATCTCCATGACTTGATTGAATTTGCTTCTATGCGACAAAGGCAGTAGTCTAATTCGGTGCAAGTGTATCACAAAAATAGCGACATATCGCAAGCTAACAGCTCATCTATGGCAGCAAATATCCAAGGAGCGATGCTATCATATTAATATCGCATTCTAAATGATATCCTGAAGCTCCAGGCCTCACCGCCTGTGCCCGCATTTTCTGCTTGATTTATAGAGCGGTGAATGAACAGCCATGTTCTTCGCTAAGAATAAGACGAATGGAGGTCATATACCGATTTCAAATATTACTAGTATATAGCTTTTTTTTATAGCTTCTCTTACACATTGAGAAACCTCCCACTTACCGTAGTATGCCCAATTCAAAGCATAGAGTGACGTAGAGCCAGCTTAAATTCAATCACGTGATTTTAATGGATCGCGCGTCACGTCACGTCGCGCTTTTTGCCTACGATCTCGACGGCTGCCTTCAGCGAACAAGAGCCTCAAAATCGACTATATTTATCGCGCATTGTCCTCGCATTAGGGATACCTATTTTACTACCTCCTCCCTCGACGCGCTTAAGCCGTCTATGCCCTCGTTCAGCGCTCTGTGTTGTCGGAGATCGTTTGCCTACGCTGCAACAAGAATCCAGAATTCACCGTCAAGCCGAATCGGTCTCGTTCCTTTAGCCACGCCTATTTGTGTTAGGGCTTTTGGGTCTTGCGCACAACGACTCAAGGAGTCTGCTGGGACCAGTCCTCGTTTTGCGTCCGGTTTTTCTGCGTTAGATATGTCTGGGAAACAAGCTACACTGGGGTATGTTCGGGATTCCCAGTTGACTATCGGGTGCGTCGCCGGATTGCACTGGATAAATCCTTAGGGCTAGGGTGGGTTTGTTGTTTGATGACTGTTCAGATTGCTGATGCGCTTTATTTCTCAGGAGGTTTTTCGGCTCGAATTCGGACCCTAAAGAAGCCTCGAAGAAGCAGACCACCTTAGCATTCTCGGATAAAAAAAAGAAGGACAATGCCGCGGCTGAGCCGGAGATGACAAATGCCGAGACTGAAACCCCCAATAACGACGAAATGGAAATAGACGAATCTCCGAAGCGGAGATCAAGTGCAGGCAATGGAAACAAAAATGGGGAGGACAAGGTGAAAAAGGAGAAAGACGTCGGTGTTGAAGATAGCGAAGGTTCAGATGTTCAGCACGCACGGAAGAGGCGACGGAGAACATCGGTAGACGAGACCGATGCCCCTGCTAAGAAGAAAAAGTCGCCCTCACCTAGAGGCTCTAAGAAGAAGGAATCCAAGGAGGCTTCGCCACCACCCGTTGTCAAGAAAGCCTCCGGAGAAGAGACGCCTGAAGAGGAGGATAAGGCTTCAGATCTGGAGCCGTCTGCCAGCGAAGAAGAAGATGAAAAGCCCGAATTGAAAAAGAAGAAGATTGAGAAAGTGCAGGAATCACTCAAAGGAACTGGGAAGGAACCTTTTCCTGACTGGAAAGCTGGCGCGCCTGTTCCTTATGCAGCGCTGTGCACTACCTTTTCTCTTATAGAGATGACCACCAAGCGACTGGAGATTTCAGCCCACTGCTCGCTTTTCCTTCGTCAGGTACTTCGGTTGACCCCAAACGACTTGCTTCCAACCGTTCAACTCATGATCAACAAACTGGCCGCAGACTATGCAGGCATCGAGCTAGGCATTGGCGAGTCGCTGATAATGAAAGCCATTGGTGAAAGTACAGGGCGGAGTCTCGGCGTGATCAAAACAGACCAACATGAGATTGGAGATCTGGGCTTGGTGGCGGCCAAGAGTCGTTCGAACCAACCGACCATGTTTAAGCCAAAGCCGTTGACAGTAAGGGGCGTCCATGAAGGCTTACTCGGTATTGCCAAGGTCCAAGGTCATGGTTCCCAAGACAAGAAGGTCTCCGGTATCAAGAAACTCCTTTCTGCCGCAGATGCGGAAACAGCCGGCAAGGGGAGCAAGGGCATCGATATCACCAAAAACAAGGGCGGCCCTAGCGAAGCGAAATACATCATTCGATTCTTGGAAGGAAAGCTGAGACTTGGGTTGGCTGACAAAACTGTCCTTGTGGCTCTTGCTCAAGCAATGGCTATGCACGAAGCCGCATCGAAGGGAGAGAAATCGCCTTCAACAGACAAGATGGCGTCTGCTGAATCCAAATTGAAGACTGTTTACAGTGAACTTCCCGCCTACGAGGTGATCATCCCAGCTATGCTCGAACACGGCTTGGACAACCTTGGGGACGTCTGCAAGCTGCAACCTGGTATTCCTATCAAGCCTATGCTTGCGAAACCGACTAAATCGATCACTGAAGTACTTGACCGTTTCGAAAACAAGGAATTTACGTGTGAGTACAAGTATGACGGAGAAAGAGCACAAATCCACTATGTTGCACCGGACGCCGTCCAGCACTATCCAGGAGCAGAGAATACTCTGCAAAAGGACGGCAAGGGTCTCTGTGCTATCTTCTCGCGCAACTCGGAGGACCTGTCCAAAAAGTACCCTGATGTGCTTGCAAAGCTCAACACCTGGATTAAGCCAGGCATTAGTAGCTTCGTTTTGGATTGTGAGACTGTCGCTTGGGATACGGTAAATAAGAAGGTACTTCCGTTCCAGCAGCTCATGACCCGCAAGCGAAAAGATGTCAAGGCGGATGATGTTAAGGTCAAAGTTTGCATATTTGCATTCGACTTGCTCTTTTTAAATGGAGAGGTAAGATTCGAAGTGTGACTGTGTCAAGAATTTCAGCATGCTAATTAAGTCCTAGCCTGCGGTCAAGAAGTCATTACGGCAGCGCCGTGAACTTCTGCATGAGTCGTTCCAGGAGATTGAGGGCGAGTTCCAATATGCCCAGCATGGTAACACCAATGTGCTGGATGAGATCCAGACCTTGCTTGATGACAGTGTCAAGGCGTCTTGTGAAGGACTGATGGTCAAGATGCTTGATACAGATGAAAGTGGTTACGAACCAAGTAAGCGGAGTCGTAACTGGCTTAAGGTATTTTCTATCTGGAGACTCCTAAAAAAGACTGGCTCGCTAACTCTGTCACAGGTCAAGAAGGATTACCTCAGTGGCGTCGGGGATTCTTTGGATCTAGTCGTACTTGGTGCATATTACGGACGCGGAAAGCGTACGTCTGTCTATGGCGCGTTCCTTCTGGCAGCATACAACGCGAACGCGCAAGCCTATGAGACAATATGCAACATCGGCACGGGTTTCTCAGAAGCCATTCTCGAAGAGTTCCACAAGGAGCTTTCTCCGCTTACCATTGACCGGCCCAAGCCCTTCTACTCGCACTCGAACGTCCCCAAGGATCAACCAGACGTGTGGTTTGAGCCCCGACTGGTGTGGGAAGTTAAAACAGCCGATCTGACTCTTAGCCCACGATACCAAGCTGCGGCTGATGAGTTCGTCGGAACAACTGGTGGAGGAAAGGGCGTGTCTCTCCGTTTTCCGCGGTTCATCAAGTCCCGTGACGATAAGAAGCCTGACCAAGCTACCACGACACGAGCGGTTGCTGAGATGTACCGGAAACAGGAGGCAGTTACTAAGGAAAGCGCCGGCAAGAAGGGCGTGGATGATGATTTCGAATATTAACTTAGTGTGTCGAAGGAGCTGCTACCATGTTATGATGCTAACTCACGCCCTAAATATCGCTTCAATTGGTCTTCTTGGCGGGACTGGATAACGACTTGTAACCATAGTTTTATAATGTTAGGCGATTGGCATATGCAACAATCCGATTATCGCAATTTCTAGACCCCTGTCGTCAGCTGACAGTCTTGAGTAACAGCCACAAACAAGGAAGCGGGGATGTAATCTGGCCATGAACTATCCTTTATTTAGAGCATTGTTTTGTTTTCAATATTCATCTACTAATCCACGCTTCAGATATCCAAACAGCCGACGAATCTCAATTGCAGAACCTTCGACCGAATCTGGATCCAATTTTTTACGCAAGCCATGGCTGACGGGATCTTTGCCATCAGATCTGACGAGAAAATCAGAAATCATGCAGCAAAAGCATGGGCCGAAGTCAAGCCACTCGCCGATGTTCTCCCCAGGCCCAGACACGGTCTTGCCCCGTTCTTCGGAACACCTGAGTGCGACACAGTTCTCAAAATGGTCTTGGACGAATATCTCCAGAAAGTAATCTTCTATAAGTCTCCATCCCAAAGGGACTTATCCAGCTAATAAGTGGCAGCCATCCACCACCGAATTTAGATCCCATCTGAGAGTAAGCGGCCATATTGCTTTCCCTGGCGTCGTAGCCACCGGTCAGACAACAACGATATTGGTTCCTCTTCAGATCATTGGTGAGGTTAAGGTTGGGCCGGTGGGGATTGACATTGACCATCATTATAATATATTGCGCTTGTGTGATGTGGAAGTGTCGGAGGGAGGGAAGATGGTGGCGCTGGTTGTATCAAATATACCAGCACAGTAACTTGATGTGTGGGTTTGCGCTTGGATGTAGGTTAGGTTTGTGTCCTTTTCTTTTTGGTCTTTTATTCGGAATTAATGATAATCGTTTGGGGACACATCAGGGTTGTCAAAGTCACTGGACCCCGGTTTTTTGCGGCTTGTCTACATCCTTCGTTTGTCTAGGTCGAAAAGAAAATGGAAGTTCTTCAGATGCCCAACAGAAGATAGAGTCATTGCTCTACTCTTGCCGAGCTACATTGGTACAATGGGCAGGATCCGACTCCTTTTACGGGTCACGTCAATAGATCTGTGTATATGGCATCTCGCATGGATGGGTATGCGATACCAGAGCCCTCATGGAATTGTATCCCCAAGCATGGAATTGCATCAACACCGGAATTTACATGCTGAACAAATGAGTAAAAAAACAAGCATACATATCTTGATAAAGCATTACATCGTCCCCGTACCTTCTACCTTTTAGGTACGATAGTACAAGTGCCGTGTATCTCCCTTCGTTTACAATCATGCTCCTGCCACCGCGCGAAAAACTAGCGTCTGATAACCTAGAATTCCCAAAGTCATCCACAGCAATTACTCACAAGTTTCCCACAAGAAATACCACTGAGTCAGAGCTTGCAAGTTCCCGCTTGAAAATGATTTCTAGAGTGTAACATCACTGGATTCCATTATGTATAATTCGAATGCAATGGAATAATGTATTTCAATTGCGTAGTATACATTCCTGGTGGAAAGGAGGTGCAAGTTACGGTAAAGTTTAATATGTATGCCCGCCAGCAAACTACCCAGCCCTTAACCTACGCATTGGTCTAAAGTGATATGGCTACAAGGAACGACAGTCATAAAGAGTGGTGATTCATTCATAGCTAGTGTAAATGACCAATCATAAGTCATGACCGGTCATTCAACATACAACAAATAAACACAACAGCTAGTCACTCAAGAGAGCGGATATAGTTGGCATAATCAGAACAGAAATACAAAAGCAAACCGAGTCCAAGGACCCTAGGTGATAAAGAAGAGTTCGATATTTCAATCTACTCCTCCTCCTCGTCACTCTCCTCCTCACTTTCGGCGTTTTCGAGCCATTCGAGGAAGGGCTGGGCGGCCTTGCGGACCTTCTTGCTGGTCTGGCCGTCGACGTATTTCTTGCTCGCCTTGGCGCCCCAAGCCTTGAGGGTCTCCTCAGAGACAATGTCATTCTGGTAGTAACCGAGAAGGATGGCAGGGATCTGGGAAATGAGCTCGGGGTGGTCGCTGCCAACGAAGCGCTCAGTACCACCGAGAAGAGCCTTCTCGTGACGTTCCGAAGTGACCAACTTCTGGAGAAGCGAAGCCCGCTTGGGGATCTGCTTGGCGAAGTTCTTGTCGAAGATGGTCTGAGCAAGAACAGTGAGCGTCTTGTGCTTGGACTCGATGCCGAGCTCCTTGGCCTTCTTGTAGATGTCAATATCTTCAACATTGAGGACATTGCCCTTCTCCTCAGCCACGCTCATGACCCAGCTACCAAGCTGGTCGTAGGAAGAACCACCTTCGGCCTCGTCATCGTCTTCGATGACAAGGGAACGCTTCAGATCGTCGGGAAGATCCTTGGCACGAGCCCTGACGGCTTCTTCCGACACGTCAACAGCCCATTGCTCATCTTCGGCCTCGTCAGCCTCGATTTGCTGAGCTTCAGCCTTGATGCGGCGGGTAAGCTCATCATCGCTGCCTGCTTCAATGCCAATATCCTCGGCTTCTCCTCCATTGTCGGAGTTGCTGTCTCCCTGGCTGCCATCTTTGTCTCCATTGGCGGCACCGTCGTTTTTCTCCTTGTTCTTCTCACGGCGGGCCTTCTTGTCGGCCTTGTTCTTCTTGCCTCCCTTGCCAGAAGTGCTGTTGCGTATAATAAAGGTGCTCAGCTTCAGACGAGGATCCACATCGGAACGCTGTCCACAAGCCTTGCAGTCCAGGATGATGTGGTCATCTTTGAGAATGACATCGGTTTCGGGGTTCTTGCACTTCTTACAGAGAACAAACTTGGCAATGAAGCCATCGAGATAATCCTGAAGCTTGTTGGAATCGTGGGCACCGTTGATGATCCAACGGTCGTCGCTCGGCTTGGCGTTAGCCTGAGCACCCAGTTCGAATCCAAAGTACTTGATCACATAGGAAGGAGGGCGACTGAGCGATCCAGCGACGGAGTTCAAGTTGACAACGACGGTCTTGATACCGTTACCCTTGCCTTCGATCTTGGACTGCAAGCGCTCCATCTTGTAACGGTAGAAGGGGTCGCTGACATCCCGGCGAATGTTAACGGTGGCCATGGTGACGGTTGTGGGTTATACAAAGATTCTTTCAAGAGAATTAAAGAACAGGCTTTCTTATCAAGGAGAGTTCAATCGAAACCAGAGGTAAATTGACCGAAAAAGACATGCGTGGGAGCCGTTTATTGTGTCGTAGAATGGTGACGGTTGAGGCAACAGGCAGCTTTCTAGGCTTCAGCCACAAGACTTGGAATGAAAACTACAAGGTTTCGGCACGTAGCGAAACGTTTGCAGCTTATGCGGCAGGTGGTATTCGAAATTTCTGACGCAAGACGAATACATAGACAAATTGTCGAACAGCGCCTTTTTTGGGGGAGGGCGGTGCGTTTTGGGTGGTTTTCTCTGGTAAGAGAAGAGAGAAACCAAGAGGTCGCTTTTCTGTTATTGAAGAAAGAGTCAGACTTTGTGGCACTTCCAACGTAAGAAAAAAGTGGCGGAAAGCCGATAAAAATCCGTACACACTACTAACCAGAGACGCGCTCTTTCAGCGCAGACACAAATTTGCGAGACGGGAAACTCGTGAACGGTGCGAATCGACGAAGAAGCCAACGTCGATGGCAATAAGTGAATTTAGAAGGACAAAACAGAAACAAGTGAAAGTGTGTTGTGGGGGGGGAAGAAAAAAAAGAAAGGAGGAACGAAAAGAATTCGGCGTCAAACAAAAAGACTCAAACAATGCAAACCAGATGACTCAGCCTTCCAGCCGAAGCCACCGGAGCCTCGGAGTAGTAAGTCCCGGCGCACGTGATGCGTTCTATTGTGTCGGAAATGTGGCTTAGTCAGGGTTGAAAGTACGTATCAAGCGTATATGGTTGAGGTCTCTGATTCTTGCAAAAGTGTGCTATCTAGGATCCTATATACGACCGTAAATACCTTATAGAGTATACTAAGCGATTGTGCGGTTTCAAAAGCAGTAATAGCAGAGTAAATACGCTGCTTTTCGCCATATGATATCAGCAAGGCATCAATCAG